CCTTATATTATAAATAGTTAATAAGCTATATTGCCTTATAATTAATATCTAACTTTAATAGCTCTGCCTCTTTAAGTTCTTCTCTTTTAAATGCCTTATCTTATTTATTACTGTAATGCTATTAAGGGTAAGGGTATATATTATCTTCCTAACTTTCTTAAATATATAAAAAATAAAGGGTGTAAGCAGTATACTAAGAATAATAAAGATCTTAATATAGTATTAAATATAGTAATAAAATTACTAAACTTTTTAAATATACAGCTTTAGTATTATAACTATATTCTAGTTAAATCTAGTTGCATTTTTTAGTATTAAGATAATAGCAGAAGTAGCTTTTACTATAGTAAGCTTATTACTATTATTATTATTATTATTACCTAAGCCTACTGCTTTAAAGCTTGCTAAAGTCTCTTTATTATTATTAATAAAGCTAGGAAGGAGATATTTACTAACTTTATATATTAATAATAATAATATATCTTAAAGCTAGTTTAAGACTATTACTAGCTTAAAAGGAAAATAACTATATTTCTTTTAAGCTAACTTAATTATATGCTTTTTAAAAGTGCAGTTATATATTTTCTAAAAGTAATAAAAAAAGTTAGACTTCTTAAAGTCTATAATACTATTAGTAATCTCTTTATATAAAATCTTTTAATACTAAGTCTTATAAGAATAAAAAACGCTAATATTAAGCAGCTAGAGATAATATATAAAATATAATAATAAGGGAAAAAGTATAATATTATAGAGTATTGCTGCAGGGGCTGTATAAAATTGCTAAGGGGGCTGTAGTTTAAGTACCTTACTTTTTTCTCTTATACACTATGTTTCTATAAGACATTTTCTATATAAAATAAAATTTAAAAAAATATAATAAAAATATATATAAGTAATTTATTAGCTAAAAATACTATATAATTTTTTAAAATATTTTTATTAATTTTTATAAGCTATATAATAGCAGTAAAAACCTAGACTAAGTTTATGCTTAATTTTTTCTATATATTTTATAAAAAATTAGGTAACTTTTTATATTTTATTAAAAAGCGTTTTATAAACTAATAGTAAGTACTAAATGCATGCTTATAGAAGTATTTATTTAGCTAGAAATTAGCTTTTAACTTAAATTTAGTTTCTTTAGGCCTTTATTAGGTATAAATAAAATCTTTTAATTAAAATATATTAGTTTATTTAATAAGCTTTTTAATAATACCCTTTTTTTCTTTATAGCATTTTTCTAGAATTAATTATATATTTTTGTACTTAGAAGAGGTTTCTGTGGGTCCCTATGCATAGACCCCTACTAAGCCTATTTAGGCTAGTTACAGCCCCCCTAGCAATTTTATACAGCCCCCCCAGCAATACTCATATTATATTTAGCTATAAAAAATATAAATTTAATTATTTAATAATTCTTATAGCTATTTATTAAAAGAATATAAATATCTTTAAGGTTTAATAGTCTTATATATATCTTAAAGTAATAAAGCTACTTTAAAGTAAGGATATTAATTATATATCCCTTTTTACTTAAAATAATAATAATATTACTATTTAAGGCATTAAAAATCTAGTAGGCTAAAATATTAATACTTAAAAGGATTAGAAATAAAAGGATTTAAGCACTAGTAGTAAAGTCTACTTTTATAATAGTAAGAGATAACTTATTATAAGCATTAGTTAAGACTGGCTTTTTAATAAAAAGGGAAGTTTATAAGTTTATACCTTTTAAAAAATATCTTATTATAAAGCCAGACTTATTAAAGTTTTATATATACTGTTTTTTAACCTTTTATTATAAAAATAGATAATATAGCGCTAAGTAAAATGCCTTTATATTACCTTAATTTTTAACTGCCTTTTTTTTAATATCTCTTAATATAGACTTATATTTATAGAAATTTTTTTTATACTGCTATATAAAGCAGCTTGCCTATTTCCTAAATACCTATTTTACCTTACCCTTAATATATAAAAAAGCAAAGGTATAGTATTAAAAATAATAAAGATAAATATAATACCCCTATATAATTTTATAAAATAATTAGTAAAGGATTTTATATTCTTTTTTTAATAAAAATAGTATATAATTACTTTTATTAAGTAACTGTAAATAAGCTTTATAAACCTTACTTTACAGCCTTTTATATAAGACTTGCAGCTTATTAAAAGCTTTAGTTATATTTATATAGTATTTATTTTAAAATAGCTTAGCTATAGTAACAGTTTATTTTTTAAGGTTCTTAGCGTTAAAGTATTAAAAAAGCAGTAAATTTATCTTTAAATTAATCTATTTTTATATTACTACTAGGGGGGTCTTAAAAATAACTGCATTTCCTATCCTAGCTCTACTAGGATAAGGGGCATATTAATTAGCAAAAGGGTTATTAATTTATAAAATACTTTAATTTAAATGCGCATGCTATATAACTTAAGGTACTAATTTAATAACTTATTACTCTTACACCTAAAAAAGCCAATTTACATAAATTTAAAATCGCCTTAACTTAAGGAGCAGCTTAATAGTATTTTTATAATCTTAATTACAGATTTAGGGGTCTTTATAGTACCTTTTATTATATAGTATATAACACTCTAACCTATATATCTTTTTTTTATAAATTAACAGACCTTTTACTAATTAATATGCCCCCTGTCTTAGTAAAGCTAAGATAGGAAATGCAGTTGTTTTTAAGACCCCCCTAGTAGTAGCTAGGGCTTAGGAGATAATATTATAAAAGTTTAATAAAGATTTAGGCAATTTTAAATATGCTATAGCATAATAAAGTTATAGTATTATTAGGCTATATATTACTATTATAGAGTTAAGGCGCTTAGTATTATAGTTATTTTAGCAGGTTAAGGCAAAAATGCAACTTGCTAAGTGTAACATTCAGAAGCGCTTAAAGGCAACTAGTGCCTTTAGATTAAATGCTTAGGAATATAAATATAAAGCCCTAGAATATAGGTAAATGTATTTAGCTAGCTACTATAGTATTTTTCTTTTTTCTTCCTCTTCTTAATATAAGGCTATTTAAATAATTCTATTTTTAGCCTTAAATTATTATAATTATAAGCCTAGGTAGTGTAAAAGTATCTTATTAGTAACTTCTTATATACTATTTATACTGTTTTATTATTCTTATATACTTATTTTCCTTAAATCTTATAATAAAATTAACTAAAGATTTCTTAGCTATGCTGCTAGTATTAATTAAGCTTATAGCATAACTAAATTAATTAGATTAAATTAAAACACTTAAGTCTTTTACTTAAGTATATAGGATTTAAGAGAAGATTAATCCTAAGCTCCTATTAGCTGCTAGTAATAACTTTATAATTAATAAAGTTCTTTTATAAGAAGATATAAAGTAAAAGCTAGCAGCTGCCTTAAGTAAAGATAATCCGCCTTTAAAGCTTTAAGAGATAATAGCTATGCATTATACCTAGCTTTTTAAATTCTAATTTAAATAATTAAATGCTTTTAATTTAAAAAAGAAGAATAATACTATATGCTTTTAAATTATTAAGACTATTAGTAAAGGAATTTATTAAGCCCTTAAAAATACTTTTAAGAAGAATAATAAGGGAGAGATTAATAAATATAAAGTTATTATAACCTGCAAGCTTTTAAAAGGTCTTAAAAAAATAATCACTCTTAGTAATTTAAGTATCTTTAAGGCTATATAGAAAAGCTACTAAGTAGTGCTAAATAAGGCCTATGCCTTAAGAATAGACTTTTAAGCTTAATTTAACTGCTAGTTTAAGGCAGCAGCAAGGGCATTTTAACTACAGATTCTAAAGATTTAAGGTAATATAGCTATTATTAATTTCCTAAGCGTAGTATTAATTAAGTTTATATTAACCTAGGTAATATAAGCCTTAAATAAGCTTATAATCTTAAAAATAACTAGAATATCCCCTATCTTTTTCTTATATTAATATAAAGCTATATTTTATATAATTATAAAATATTAACTAGTAAAAAAAAGAAATAAAATATATCTTATATTAGCTAAAAGATTAAATACTTTTAAAAGCATAGTTAAAGGCAGACTAAGCAGTAAAAGGCAAGGTTTATTTTTTAAGAAATATCCTTATAAGGATAAGAGAGAGGAGGGTTATATATAGCTACTTAAGTAATACTAAAAACTAAAATATACCCTAACTAGAAAGAAGAATCTTAAAATATATAGCATACCTTTTAAGGCTTATATTAAGATTATTTATAATTACTACTAATTAAATACCTAGAAGGAGCTATACTTAAAGAATCTTTTTTAAGCATAAGATTATAGTAGTAATAGCCTTAAGCTAACTAAGTTTATACTTAATAAACTAATTATAATACTTATTAACCCTATTAGCTTTCTTAATTTAAAAAGCAGACTAGAAATATATACTATATTTAAAAATAGCATTTATCTGCTTTTATAAAGCACCCTGCTAAATTCCTATAATACTCTCTATTTAATTAAGAGTATTGCTGCAGGGGCTGTATAAAATTGCTAAGGGGGCTGTAGTTTAAGTACCTTACTTTTTTCTCTTATACACTATGTTTCTATAAGACATTTTCTATATAAAATAAAATTTAAAAAAATATAATAAAAATATATATAAGTAATTTATTAGCTAAAAATACTATATAATTTTTTAAAATATTTTTATTAATTTTTATAAGCTATATAATAGCAGTAAAAACCTAGACTAAGTTTATGCTTAATTTTTTCTATATATTTTATAAAAAATTAGGTAACTTTTTATATTTTATTAAAAAGCGTTTTATAAACTAATAGTAAGTACTAAATGCATGCTTATAGAAGTATTTATTTAGCTAAAAATTAGCTTTTAACTTAAATTTAGTTTCTTTAGGCCTTTATTAGGTATAAATAAAATCTTTTAATTAAAATATATTAGTTTATTTAATAAGCTTTTTAATAATACCCTTTTTTTCTTTATAGCATTTTTCTAGAATTAATTATATATTTTTGTACTTAGAAGAGGTTTCTGTGGGTCCCTATGCATAGACCCCTACTAAGCCTATTTAGGCTAGTTACAGCCCCCCTAGCAATTTTATACAGCCCCCCCAGCAATACTCTTAATTAATAATATTAACTTACTTAAAAAGGGAATATTTATTCTTAATATAAGCAGAGACTTTATAAAAGCAGGTATTATATAATTCCTTATATTTAGCAAAGGCATAAGGGTTATTAAGGGAGTACTAAAAGGAGAGGATAGAAATCTAAAAATAAATCTTATACTTAAAATATTATTATTATTAAAGGCTTTTATATTAATATAGTCTTAAAAGCTTATTTATATTAATTAAGAGCTTAGTACTTAAGTTATAATTACTTACTGCGCTTTAAAAAGCCTGCTAACTAAATAATATTAGCTAAGCTTATATATAAGTATAATTTACTATTCCTTTAATATAACCCTATTTTCCCTTTTTATATAAGCATATAGCTTACTAAAGCTATATATAACTAAGCGCTAAATTAAGGTATTTATAATATAATAAAAAGAAGAAGACTATTAAGAGATCCTCCTCTTTTAAAATTTAACTTTAAATATTTATAGTATCTGTAATTAGGATATTTAAGACTAGCTGCCTTTAAGGTAATAGTATATTATATAAAGAATATATAAATTAATAGAATTAAGCAGTAAGATTATAAATTTTATATTTTAGCTAAAGCTAAGTAAGTAATTTTAAGAAGACTGTTAAAAAGACACTTACTAAGACCCTTTTAGTAACTTTATTTAAATCTTTAAGATTATAATCTAGGTTTTAATAAAAGTAATTAGCTCTTTTTAATTAAAGATAAATATAGTAAATAAATATATATATAGCTGCTGCTTAATAAGAAGTAACTTATAATTTTTTATGCTTTTTTTAACTTTATTAGCTATATAAAGAGATAATATAAACTTAATATTATTATCTTATAGTAAGATAATAAAAAAGCTATAATTATAATTTAAGGCAAGTCTTTATTTTAAAAGGAAGTAGAGTATTATAGCCTTATTTTTAGAGTATTGCTATCTGGGCACTAATGGATTGCTATTCAGGCACTGACTAACCTAAATAGGCATAGTGGAGGTCCATGCCCACAGACCCATAGAAATTTCCTTTAACTTTAAAAATCTATAAAAAATTCTAGGAAAATAATTATTAAAAGCAGATTTAAATTTTAGCTTATTTATATAGTAAATTTCAATATTATATATTAAGAAAGCTTTTTAAGCTAGATTTATAGTCTAAAAAACCTATATTATATTTAAAGATTATTTTAAGCCTAAGTAGTGCTTATATAAGCATGCATTTAGCATAATAATAAAGCCCTTAAAATAAGCTATATAGCTATATAAAAAGTTACCTAATTTTATTAAGCTTTTATATATAAATAGCTAGTTTAAAATACTATAGATTTCTTTTTTATATAACTAGCTTAAATAAAAATATTTAAAATATATAAAAAATATTCCCTTATTATTTAGCCACTTTTATAACTAATATTATTTTTTATATGCTTTATGTATTTTTTTCTAGCTAGAAAAATAACTTTTAAAACAGAGTAGTTTAAAGGAAATTCTTTAGGTACCTCTACCAGTGCCCGAATAGCAATCCATTAGTGCCCGGATAGCAATACTCTATTTTTAAATTAGTACCTCCTTATACTTATAAGCTAAATAGGGGTAAAGAGCATGCTAATAAAAAGATAATAGTTAAATCTATTAAGATAATCTTTATAGCTAATTTATTAATAAACCTTTAGTTTAAAAGTATAGCAGCAGCTATATATTTATATAATATAAGCCTATCTTAAGCTAATAAGATGCTTAGTTTAATAAATTGCCTTAAATATTAGTTTAAGGATTTTACTTTTTTAAAAATTTATTATTATAAAGCAGACTTAAGGCTAGATTAAAGCAGGATTTATATATATAGCTGCTATACTTATACTTTAAATAAAGAATATAAGGTAAATAAAAATAGGAAATTATTTAAAATAAGCCTTAAAGGTTTAATTAAATATCTTATTAACTATTTTACTTTTAATATATATTATATTTAAATTCCTTAACTTAGCAGAGTCTTAAAGACTAGGAATATTATATTTAATAAGACTATATTTTTTAAACTGCAGGAGCTGCTAGCTTTTAAGCTTTTTAATAAGTAGCTAAATAAGCTATTTAATAATATTCTAAAAGAGGAAGATATTAATATCTTAATACTGCTATTAAGCCTTTATTTTTATAACTTAAAGGAACTTACTAAGCAGCCTGTAGTATATATAAGCTAAGGGGTAAAGAAGGAAGTATAAGAAATCCCTTAAATTATAATAAAAGAACCTGCTACTATAAATAAAAAAGCCCCTACGCTTATAAAGCTAAATACGCCTTATAACACCTTAAAAAGAGAGCTAGATTATGCCCTAGTGCTAAAGTAAGAGTATGCTTTTAAGTGCTTAGCTAGCATATAAGATATAAGTAGCTAAGCAGAGGATTAATTATAAATGCTAATAAGAAGTTAGCCCCTTAAAAGAGTTATAGCTAAAGAACCTTAAATACTAGAATTTAATAAAAATAAGCAGATCTAGTAGTAATTATAAGCTTTAAAAAAAGCTAAAGAAGCTGCTAAATTTATAAAGGGATTTATAATAATAAAAAGTAGTATTAATAATAGTAAAGATAAAGTTCTACTTTAAGAAAAAGTCTAACCCCTTACTTTACTATATAAAAGTATATAGCTTTATAAAAAATAACCTTTAAAAGCAGTTAATAACTATTCCCTTAATAAAAAGAGAAGGACTAAATATAATAAAGTTAGGGATAAGATCTATACTATTATTATAGGCTTCTTTAAATTACTATTAGATAGAATATAGCCTAATAAAATTAGCCTGTCTAGTATAAATATAAAGATTACTAAAACTGTTTTTATAACGCTTAATAAAGCAGTTAAGTAAAAGAGCGCTTATAAAATAAGAGCAGCATTAAGCAGGCTATGTATTTACTTTAATAACCTAGCTAAGCTATTAAATAGCTAAAAAGAGATATAAAAGCATTTATTAAAGGAGAAGTTTAAGGAAGCTATAAGAGGTAAGATTTAAGCGCTATAATTTAAGGGAATATAAAAAGAGATTTTAATTAATAAAGTAAAGATAATACTATTACTAATAAAATAAGTGTTTACTTATAAGTTTAATTAAGATAGCTATCTTAACTACTATAAGGCAAGACTTATAGTAAAGGAGGATTTATAAAACTAATTTATAATTAAGAGTATATATACTGCTATACTTATAATATATTTATTTTATATGCTAATTACTATAGCTAAAAGATTTAAGCTTAAGATTAAATAATATAATATTAAAAATGCACTTATTAACATATTTTAAAATAAAGATAGCCTCCTTATTATAATATAAATGCTAAAGGGATTTTATAAAGCTAATACCTATCTAAAGCTTAAGAAAGCTTTATATAATCTTAAGGATTTACTAAAGCTATAGTTTAATAAGTTCTTTTTAACTTTAATAAATCTAAGGATAGAAGTATGCCTTAAAAAGCTATGCCTTTTTTATATATTAGACAGAAAGGTATTTATAGAATTTTATATAAATAATATCCTTACTGCTTATTATAAAAAAGATAAAGCTTATTTCTTTAAAATTAAGCGCTAAATTAAGGCTAAGTATAAGTTATATAAAAGGGGAGATGCTAAATAGTTCTTAAAGATTAAGATTATTAATTAAAATAAATAAAATTACTATCCTTAAATAATTTAATAAGTCCTTCTATTTAAACTGTAGCATATCTTTATTTAAACTATAGTAGTCTATGCATAAGGTAAAATTCCTGCGCATACACTGTTAAGTCTATTACTGTATACTGGCTTATAGTGTGAGCTAATGGCAGGCTTGTTGTCTTTACATAATAACACCACATAAGGTCATGTCTTCAGTTTCTTTAATAATCGCAGCCGACCTCAGAGCCGACCTTACAGCCGACTTATAGCCAGCCACTTAATTACAGCACAAGATTAACGGCAGCACGTATTATTATCCTAGGACTAAGGAGGCGGCTGTAGTAGCAGCAGAGGCAGCAGCAGAGGCAGCACTAGCAGATACTCTAGTGTTAATCCTGTATAACCTCTACCTTATAATAACTCTTAGATAGTATTAACTTCTAGTGTATAACACTATATTCTAGTGCTTAGGTGTAGGATATTCTACCTAGGGGGTTAGTATAGCTAGTGGTATAGACTACTATAGTTTAAATAGAAATCTATTATAGTGTAAATAGGAGGACTTAATTTAATTACTAGTTTAAAGCTATATTAATTTATTTTACTACTTTCTTAACTACCTTTTTAATTTATATAAGGTAGCTAAGAAGCCTAAGAGGTTTAAAAAAAATAAGGAGGTAAATAAGGCAAATAAAATTAAGAATAGCCTAAATATAGCAAAATAGTTAACTCCTAGCTAAATAAATAAAAATTATAAAAATAAAGTAATCTTATTTAAACTATAGTATATTCCTATTTAAACTATAGTAGTTTATGCTTATATTAAAATTATTATACTTATACTACTAGTCCTAAAGCTATACACCTACTTATAGTATAAGCTGCTAGTATATCCTATAGCCTATATAATAATGCTATAAATAATAGTATTATAATTTTTAATATATAGACCCTTTACCTTTATTATTATAACTATTATTACCTTAGGGCTAAAGCGATAACTGCAGCAGCAGCAGCATTAGCACTAGCAGCACTAGCACTAGCACTAGCAGCACTAGCAGAGGCAGCAGCAGAGGCAATAGCAGCAGAGGTAGCAGTAGAGGTAGTAGCAGAGGTAGTAGTAGAGGTAGTAGCAGAGGTAGTAGCAGAGGTAGTAGTAAAGGTAATAGCAGCAGGGATATCTCCTTAATAGTAATAACTGCTAGTATACTATACTGTATTTTACTATATAGGCATAAACCTTATTACTTAGGGGTGTCTCTCTAGCTGTTATATAAACCACTATAGTTTAAATAGGCATATGCTATAGTTTAAATAGAATTACTTTAAAAATAAAGTAGTCTTTAGTATTCTTATACTATAAAGTAATACTAACCTTTATAAATATAAAGTTTATTTACTACTATATATTAATTAAAAAGTCCTCCTATTTAAATAAATAAAAATCATTATTTAAATAAATATAGCTTATACTATTAACTAGGCAGACCCCTTAAATAGCTTAATTTATACTTATATATTAAAATATAGTATAGTATACTAGTAGTTATTACTATTAAGAAGATATTACTAAGAGAAAGGCATAAGGGTTAAAGCTATAAAATTAAAGTAGGCTAATTTATTTAAAAATAGTATTTTCTTTATTTTCTTATTTAATATATATAAAATACAGTTAGGCTAGTTTATTAAGATTATCCTGCACTACTGCTAGCTAAGTGGCTAAGATAATAATAACCTTTTTAATAGTATTACTATTATTACTATTATTACTATTATTTAAAGCAGTAGCTATAATCTAAAACTTATAAATAACTAGAAAGAGGTCCTTAAACTGCTACTATAGCTATAGCTATAGCTATAAGATAATAATAATACTAATAATAAAAGTAAGGCTACTGCCCTTTACTTTATATTATAATAAAACTTACTATACTAAAAGGTTAAGCCTTTGCGCTAAAGCTTTTTAATATAGCTGCTGCTAAAATGCCCTAGGCCTAGTTTATAATACTTATAATAAGGTTAGCGCTTATAATAAGGTTAGCACTCCTCTCTTTTTTTCCTTATTATTAGCTTTAAGGCTTATTAATATAAGTAACCTGCTATTATTTAAAAGTTTAAGTTAGCTATAAAGGTCTTAAATAATATTAAAATCTTATATATAAAGAAAAGGCTCTATATAAATTTAAAAAATAAGATTAATAAACTTTTTATAATATTTAGTTAAGGAATATATTAAAGGCTGCTTTAACTACTACTAGGGGGGTCTTAAAAACAACTATAATCCCTATAATAGCTCTACTATCACAGGGGGGTTATTAATTTGCAAAAGGGTTATTAATTTGCAAAATACTTTATCTACTATACGCATCCTATATAAATAGAAGTACCTTTTTTTAATTGCTTTATTTTTTTTATTCTAATAAGCTAATATAGCTTTAATTATAATTGTATAATTACTAAAGAGTATATTTGCATTATTATATTATTAGGACTGTAGTTCTTAGTTTTTTTAGTACCTTAATCTGTATGGTTAGCTTACCAAGATCTATATATCTTTTTTTTTGCAAATTAATAACCCTTTTGCAAATTAATAACCCCCCTGTGATAGTAGAGCTATTACAGGGACTGTGGTCGTTTTTAAGACCCCCCTAGTATTATAAATAAATATTTTTTTATTAAAGGCCTTACTAGCTTTTAACTTTTGAAAAATAATATAGCTATAAGGAAGGCTATACTATTATTATTAAAATATATGTCTCTTGCTTATTTATTATCCCTATATCTGGGTAGGGAGTATAGCTCTTACTTATATTCTATAGCTAGTTAACCCCTGCTGCTTTATATACTAGTACTTGCTATATTAATGCCCCTATTTTTAACACTCCTACTTAATAATATAGGAAGCTTAAGAAGCTGCTTCTACAGCTTTAATAAAAGAAACTTAAGCAGCTCCTACTACTTTTATATATTTTTATAGTAAAGCGCTTAGCCTATAACATGCTCCTACTAGACTAAGTCTAGTTAGCGACTTTTATATTAGTAATCCTCCTTAAGCCTAGGGCTTTATAAAATTTCTAAAAGCAGTCTTTTCTTAATAGCTTAGTTAACCTGTCTACTACTATCTTATTTATAGGGATATATTCTAGTATAACCTCCTTAATCTTAACCTTTTTATAAATAAAATGCTATTAGGTCTCTATATACTTAAAGCCTTTATAGTTTATAGGATTCTTTATAAGTGTAATAGCTCCCTAGTTATTACTAGGGGGGTCTAGAAGTCGACCACTTCCTGTGTTAGCACAGCTTACTATGGGGGGCCTGTTAATTAGGAAAATAGGACGTTAATTCGGAAAAAAAAAGATACCTAGCTTATAGTGGCACACACACGCAATCTTAGGTATTTATATTTTCTTGCATAAATCGCATATTCTAATCTGACTGCCTTAGTGTAATAATTTAGGGCTAAAAATAGGATTATTTAAATAGCCTTATATTAGGAAGAGGAAGAAAAAGGAAAAATACTATAGTAGCTAGCTAAATACATTTACCTATATTCTAAGGCTTTATATTTATATTCCTAAGCATTTAATCTAAAAGCGCTAGTTACCTTTAAGCGCTCTTAAATATTATATACCCCCTAGTTAAAGGAAGTATTATAAATACTTTCCCTTTAACTAAATAATAAAATCCTTAATATTTTTATTCTTTTAATAACTTTATTATTAAAGCCTATGCCTAGGCTATTATTTATAAGCTCCTTTATATTAGAAATAGCAGCAGAATATATAAAGTTATATTATTAAGGAAAAGTAAATAAAAGCTTTATTTATAAAGCATAGTATAGTAAATAATAAAGGAATAATTAGCCCTTACACTTATAAAGTAAAGCTATTTAAAGGAAGCTCTAGAATAGATAAATAAGCTTCTAATCCTCTGCTTTTACTTTCTTCTTCTTTAATTATTATTATTATTATTATTATTATTATTATTATTATTATTATTATTATTATTATTATTATTATTATTATTACTGCTGCTATGCCTTTTAAGAAGACTGCTGCCCTTAAGCCCTCTGCTAAATTTAAGGGCAAGCAGCCTGCTAATATTATTTATTTTATCTTATCTCTTCTATCTAATTTTATTATACTAATCTATTATTTTTAAATAAAGAAGAAGATAATAATAACGCTAAGACCCTGCGCAGCTGCAGGCCCTTCTACCAGTCCTAAGCCCCTGGCTTAATAAGACCCTGCCTGTAAGAATTATATCTAGGCCCTGTTAATAGGCTAAAGGCCTGACTATTCTTATTATATTAACGCTAGTGGCTGCTTTTAGCGCTGCATACCTTATGCAGCTAGGTTATACTATTATCCTTTATAATAAGCTTAATTCCTTCTATTTAATTATGCAATCTGCTAACCGCATGTATATAGTTATCCTAAGTTAATACTATTTATTTAATAAATAGGGCATGCTGCTAAAGAGGTAAATAAAAAAGTATATCTCTTTTTATCTTAAATTATATACTTAAATACTAATAAACTAGCAGACTCTTAATACTTATTATATAGCCTTGCGCCTCTTTTTTAAAATATTAAATAATAATAATACAGTGCTAGCATTAGTTATTATAAAGAATAAGAAGATAAAGGCTAAAAAGGCCTAAAAAACTATAGCTAAGTATATTTTTTTATAATTAGGCGCTAGTTACTAAAAGCCTAGTCTATTAATATTTTTATTTTATTTAAATTAACTTTATATATTATTTTTACTAGCCTACTTTACTGCTTTATTCTTTATATCTTTTATAAATTACCTGCTCCTTTCTTATTAAGGTCGCTTAGCTTTAAAAGCTTTATAAAATACTTAAAATGCTAATAAGGCAATGCCTTTATAAGTCTATTAGCTAGCATTTTATTAATAGGCATATAGATAATATTTATAAAGCTATACTTATATTCCTGCCTTAACTATATATTTTAAATATTTATATAGTAAAGGCATATATTAATTCTTATACTTAGATTAATTATAAGGTAAATAGTCTGCTAATTATTATAGTTAATATTTTAGTTAACTTTAAGGTTAAATTTAATTTACCTAAAAAGGCGCTATAAGGTAATAGTCTCTCTTACTATTTAACTTAATATAATTAACTTAGCTTCTATTATACTTATACTAATAATAGCTTACTAAGTTGCATTTTAAAGAATAGCGCTATTAAATAGGAAAATAAAATATTCTTATAATAACTTCCTAGTCTTTAAATTATTACTAAATAAAGCATTACTTAAGGTATTTAAGACCTTTATTCTCCTACTACCCTTATACTAAAGAGTATTGCTGCGGGGGCTGTATAAAATTGCTAGGGGGGCTGTAGTCTAAGTACCTTACTTTCTTCTCTTATACACTATGTTTTTATAAGACATTCTCTATATATTATAAAATTTAAAAAAATATAATAAAAATATGTATAAGTAATTTACTAGCTAAAGATACTATATAATTTTTTAAAATATTTTTATTAATTTTTATAAGCTATATAATAGCAGTAAAAACCTAGGCTAAGTTTAAGCTTAATTTTTTATATAAATTTTATATAAAATTAGGTAACTTTTTATATATTATTAAAAAGCGTTTTATAAACTATTAGTAAATACTAAGTGCATGCTTACATAAGCATTTATTTAGCTTAAAATCAGCCTTTAACTTAAACTTAGTTTTTTTAAGCCTCTATTAAGTTTAACTAAAATTTTTAGCTAGAATATATTAGTTTATTTAATAAGCTTTTTAAAAATATATTTTTTTTCTTTATAGCATTTTTCTAGAATTAATTATATGTTTTTAAAGTTAGAAGAGGTTTCTATGGGTCCCTGCGCATAGACCCCCACTAAGCCTATTTAGGCTAATTACAGCCCCCCTAGCAATTTTATACAGCCCCCCCAGCAATACTCATACTAAATAGTAAAGTGTCTCTTAATATAAAGATAGCAGATAAGCTAGTTAGCAGCATCTGCATATTCCTTTAATAAATTTATAAGGAAATAAGATAGTATTAATACTATAAATATAATATCTAGTTAAATTATAATTATACTATAAAGTATAAAGCTAATCTTTCTTTAATATAGCTTAATTTCTTAAAGTGTAGCTGTCTTTAAGTTTTTCTTATATTCCTTTATAAGAATAGAAATCTTTAGATTTTAGTCTCCTTTAGTAAAATTAAATTACTATATAACTTTCTTAAGATATATATTATAAAATAGATAGATTAAACACTCTGCATAATTCTTAATAGGCAGTTCTTATTTTATTTAGGTTAGCTAGTTAGTATTTATTTACTATAATTACTATATAATAATCTTTACTTTAAATATAATAGGGATAAAGATATTAGTAGTTCTTATAAAAGGAAAAGTAGTAGTACTTAGTAATAGTAAGTAAAAGCCAGGCTTATAACCTATTAAAAAGTATATTAATTATCTTACTTATCTCTCTTTTACTATATAAGAGTATAGCTCTTACTTATACCCTTAACTAAATTAACCTCTGCTGCTTTATATACTAGTACTACTTATATTAGTGCCCCTATTTCTAAATATTAAATATAAGGCATACTAGGTTATTAAAAGGTTTAAATAAATTACTAGTATTAACTAGAGTAATTCTATTTAAGCTATAGTAGTCTATATAATAGCTAGAGAGACACCCCTAAGTGGTAAGGTTTATGCATATATAGTAAAATATAGTGTAGTATACTAGCGGTTAATACTGTTAAGGAGATTTATTATTACTAGAAGGGATAGCAGCAGCATTAGCTTTTAACTGTCGCCAGGTTGCTTATAATCTCTGCATAAGTGACTTATAGATAACTGTAAGGAGGCCCTGCTACTGCTGCCTCTGCTGCTGCCTCTGCTATAGTTATAGCTTTAGCCCTAGGGTAATAGTAGTTATAATAATAAGTATTATTATTTAGGCTGTATTTAATTACTATCTAGGCTATAGTTTTACTTAACTAAGCCTAATTAAGCTAAGTTCTAACCTCCTAGCCTACTTTATTAAAAATAGTATATAGCTATAGTATATAAAATAGTCTATAATCTTAATATAATTATTATTTTATAAAAATAAAGCTATTATAATATAAACCTACTTATTTAGCTAAATAGCTAAAATAACCTTTTTAATAGCTTAGCTGCTATTATTATTACTACTGCTTTTATTACCTTAGCTATAGCTATAGCTGCTTTATTTACTTTAAGAATCTCTTTTTTTTATATTTACTACTATTTATAATTATTTTAAAGTAATCCTATTTAAACTATAGCATATTCCTATTTAAACTATAGTAGTCTATGCCTATACTAAAATTATTATGCTTATACTACTAATCCTATAACTATATACTTATTTATAGTATAAGCTTATACTATCTTTTATAGTCTATACTATAACACTAAGACTTTATTAATTTTAGCTGTTTTTTTATATAAAGCCTAATTCTTAATACTATAGATATTAATATTATAAAAATAGATCCTTAACAGCTAGGAGATAGTAATTTAAATATGCTGCTATTTTTAAAGCTGTTTTAAGGTGCTAGTCTTATAGAGATTTATGCCTTTTATAGCTTATTAATATTAAGTACACTAGAGGTATTACTAGTAGTAGAAGTTAAAAAGTTTAATAAAGAGGATCTTAATAAGGTTATATTTAATGCCTTAAAGTGGCTAAGGCTATATAACTCTAATAGTAATATTAATTATTTTAATAATTTAGCCTTCTTTTTATAAAAAGAGATACTATTACTGCTACTGCTATATATTTAAAAAAGTATTAATACTGCTGCTTATATATACTATACTATTATAGTAAGCTAATAAGGTTATAAAAATGCTATAATAAGTCTAAAAGGCTTTAAAAGCTATATAATAAGCTATAAAGGATATAAAGTTATTATTAAAGCTAGTAAAGGCTATAAAGCATTACTTCCTTATCTTACTACTATTAGTAATATATAATATATTTAATAAGCTTTTTATATTTTTATAAACCTTTTACTGCCTTTATAGCCTTACTATTTAAATATTATAATCCTTAAATCCCTAGATTATTAATAGTAAGAGAACTTTAATATACTGTTTTCTTACTTATAACTGCACTAGCAGCTAGGCTTTATTAAGCATTAGAATTTAATAATTATTAATATAAAGAATAAATTATTAATATTAAATTATAATATTAATAATAAAAAAGACTAGCTAAAAGTAGTCTTATTATATAAGCTATGCTAAATATAACTATCTGCCCTTACTTAGTCTTTTAGTATATATTATATATTATTACTAAACCCTAGCTTAATAATAATAAAAGTATAATTTTATAAAATACTAAGCCCTTTTTACTTAAAAAATAATTAAAATTGCTAAAAATTTAATTAATAGCCTTATTTTCTTTTAAGACTTTAATATTTATAATAATAAATAAAAAATATGCCTTTAAAGCTTAAGCAGTCTTTTTACTACCTAAGCCTAGATTAAGTAACTTTAGGATAATAACTTAAAGTATTATATTAAGCTAAATAATAAGATAAAAGTAAAAGGAGTTATATAAACCTATCCTAAATATAAAAATATATAGTATTAGTTTTTAAAAGTCCTTAATATTAATAATACTTATAAAACTAACTATTTTAGTATATTTTTATTTAAGGCTATTAGTATTATTAATTAAAAGTTTATTATTAATTTTATATCTAGTTTTATTAATTTAAAAAAAAAAGATAGCTTTTTATAGCTTTATAAGAAATTAAAGCAGCTTTATTAAGAAATCCTAGCTTTAGCATTATTTATAATTATTATTAATAAGGAAAAAGCACTTAAAAACGCCTTAATTATAATCTTCTTAACCTTATAGTAATAACTTTATATTTACTATATTAATATAAATATATAAGTATAAATTTAAATATACTAAAAGAGCCTTAATAGCTATAATAATAATAATAATAATAGTAATAAAAATAAAAATAAAGGCAATATTTTTAAGGGTAGTTTTTATAATAGTTTTAATAATAACCTTGCTATTTAAGCCTTTTATACTGCAGTAATATAATAAAAAGCTAAAGCTGCTAAGCCTTAAGCAGTAAGCTTATAGCTTTTAGTAAGCTTATAGCTTAAGAAAAAGCTAATATATAAAAGTATATTTTCTAACTAAAAGTATATTATCTTTATTAAAAATAAAAGAGAGTTTTATTTAGCCTAGGCTATAATAAAATTAACTTATATTATAATATAAAACTATATTTTATATTATATTTTAAAAAAATATATATTATAGTAAAAGTAATAGGCTTATTACTTTATTAGATACTATTATAACTTTAATTTAAAAGTTAATAATTTTATAAAAATAGCTTATAAAAATATTAAGTCCTTCCTTTTTATTAATATTAGTAATTTTTTATATTTATATAATATAATCCTTTAAATAATAAAAAAGAAAAAGAGGGACTATAATAATAATATAGCTTAAATATAAATATAGCAGTATTAATACTTTATTTAGTAAGTAAGCTAGCTTAAAGATATAACTTTAGTAGTTAAATATATTAAAGTTAATCTCCTTACCTAGTAGTATTAACTTACTATAGCTATAATACCCTTAAATATTAACCTAAACCTAAACTCTTTACTTAAGTATATACACTCCTTTACTTAATAGTATAGCCTTTTATATAGCTACTTTATTTTTAATAAGCTTTAAAATAATAAGGCTTTTTATAAAAAAGATATTTATTTATAATAATAGCTAGTTAAGCTACTAATAAAATTCCTACTTATTTATTAAGAGATTTTAACTAACTTTATATCTTTTAGGATTTTAAAAAGCTACTTTTTTATATATATAATCCTAATATAGTTTAAAGTTTTTATAGCTAACCTTAACTTTTAAATAATAGTAAAATGCTTATATTAATAACCCTTAAAATAAAAGAAGATAAGGATAATAAAGCTATATTAATATTATTACTAGCAGCCTTATTATAAACTAAAGTATACTAGTAGCTTTATTAATAAGCTTTAATATACTAGCTTAATCCTTTAATATAGTAAATCTTATTATAATATAAGATAAAGGGCAGTAGCAGCTTGCCTTTATTATTAGCCTAGGCTTAAGGATATAAGTAAGGATATAAGTAAAGATATAGTTATAGCAGTAGCAGTAGTAAGGCTTCCTTATAGTTATTTATAAGTTCTAAATTACAGCTAGCTATATAAAGATTATAAGTAATATAAAAATAATTAAAAGCTATTACTATTACTGCCTTAAANNTATATATNNNATATATNGTAACTATATAGTATTATTAAAAAGGTATTATACTCTAGCTACTAAGCG